ATAATCTTACAGGTTTTTTAAGAAGTAACCTAGTCTTACTTACAGTCTCTAAGAAGTATGAGTGAAAGGTATTTTTAGGATGGCTTTTGTTCTAAGGTTGAACTTGGCATTATTTGAGGTTATCTTCAATTTTTATTGAAGGAAATTGAAATTCTTTTGTCCACCCTGATGTCTACAGTGATGAATATAAGACTACTCAAGATCAGTATGGTAATCCTAAAATCTCTGTGGTCTCATTTTTTGTGTCCTTCATAGCATTCTACAAGGCTGAGCCAATCATCTAACTGTGGCATAAGCTGAGGATACTGATAGTCCATTTCACTGATGTTTAAGCAAGTAACATTGAAACAAATGTTTTATTTTTATTTATTTTTATTTTTTAATGTTGATTTTTGAGAGAGAGAGAGAGAGAGAGAGAGAGAGAGAGAGAGAGAGAACCAAAGGAGGGTCAGAGAGAGAGGGAGACACAGAATCCTAAGCAGGCTCCAGGCTCTGAGCTGTCAGCACAGAGCCCGACACAGGGCTTGAACTCACAAACCATGAGATCATGACCCGAGCTGAAGTCAGATGCCTAACTGACTGAGCCACCCATGCACCCTGAAACAGTTGTTTTAAGGAAACTCCTGATTATATAACAAGTATAAGACGTTACATTTCTTTATTATTGGAAACATCTTGCCATAATAATTTTATCAATAACTTTATTGCCATGTCACATTGTAACAGGAATGTCTACTTCCCTTTTTTTCCTTATTTTGACCCAGTAAGCGTGGACTCTGAGGCACAGAAAAGGATGAGGTAGATCATGTGGTGACTCAAGTAACATGTTGCATAAACTGCTATGACCACTAGGTGGCAGGCTGATGCAGAATGGCAGCACCCTGGGTCTCGAGGTTGTTAAAAGTCTGGCTACTTCTCTGGCCACTGGCATGGTGGTAACCATTTGCAGCAGGCTTTTCCTAGATTCAGAATGAAAGTCAAATGAGTTCTGGCATCTATCACTTTATGGACCTCTAGTCCCAATTACCATCCCTCCTGATTTTTACTGTTAGACCTTAAAATTTTTTTTCATGTTTATTTATTTATTTATTTTTGAGGGGGGGGGAGGGAGAGAGAGACAGAGAGGATGTGCCCACCGGGAAGGGGCAGAGAGAGAGAGAGAGAGAGAGAGAATCCCAAGCAGGCTCCGCGCTGTCAGTGCAAAGCCCAATGTGAGGCCTGAACCCATGAACCATGAGATCATGACCTCAGCCGAAATCAAGATTTGGATGCTTAACCAACTGATGTACCATCCAGGCACCCCTCTGCTTTTAGACCTTTAGGTTGAAAAGAGTAAGAATCCTATTCCAGATAGTAGAGCTGTTTCCTAACTATCCTAATGTGATTTCAGGGCCCCTTACATAGACATCTAGAACTCAGAGGCATTGCTGTAATATTCTGAGCCTTTTATTAAAATTCACATAACCCTGTAATGAAAATGTAAAACACTACAGAATTCAGAAGTGGTGACGAGAATTGTAAAGAAGGGCTTATTAACTACAAGCTCTGGAGAGACACTGCAGCCCTGACAAAATTACCTTTCTTTTCAGTGTTTATGAGATGTCAAAATGTTTCAGTCTAAAGTGGCTTCCAGTCATCCATCCTTGGCTGGGATCCAGTTCTTCTCTTTTCTGCCATACACCTTCCTGCTTAGCAATGGTATTGACTCCCATAGTGGCATTCAGTGTCTCAACTAAGACAGAGCAACTTTTGTCCCCATGTTTCTTCAGATTGGACAAAGTCTATTTTTGGCCCAAACTGATCTGCCTTAAATGATCTCTATGGGAGTGATGTTGTCTGGTTCAGTTACTGCCTGTGATTCTTGAATCTTCTTAGACTCTACTCTCCTTTCCCTCAACTCCTGTGTTTCATGGCCCTATCTCTGGCTCCAGTGCTAACATATACCCCTCAAGAGTGGTAGCTTGTATTCTTGCTCAGAATTCCAACTCTGCCTTGTTCATCCTGTCACCATGTTACTGGCTTGTCTCTACTGCTAGCATCCAAACTTCTTGCCTATACTCTTCTATTTCAAGAGTCTTGATGCTGTCACCATTGAGTCAATTCAACTCTACTTTTTCCACATCCCTGTGGTTACTTGATGGAAAGTAATTAATAGGAAATGCAAGAGACTCTGCAGACAAACTCTTAGAACAAATGAGTTCAGCAGGGTTGCTGAATATAAGACTAATACACAAAAATTAATGGTATTTTTAAAAAAAATTTTTTAATGTTTATTTACTTTTGAGACAGAGAGAGACACAGCATGAGCAGGGAAGGGGCAGAGAGAGAGGGAGACACAGAATGTGAAGCAGGCTCCAGGCTCTGAGCTGTCAGCACAGAGCCCGATGCGGGGCTCGAACTCATAAACTGTGAGATCATGACCTGAGCCGAAGTCGGACGCTTAACCGACTGAGCCACCCATGCGCCCCTTAATGGTATTTTTTATACCGTCAGTAACCCATTAAACATTGCAGTAAAAAATACCGCTTACAATAATATCAAGGACTATGAATCTTTAAAATTTTTTTTTAACATTTATTCATTTTTGAGAGACAGAGACAGAACATGAGTGAGGGAGGGGCAGAGAGAGAGAGAGAGAGGGAGACACAGAATCTGAAGCAGGCTCCAGGTTTTGAGCCGACAGCACAGAGCCCAACGTGGGGCTTGAACTCATGGACGGTGAGATCATGACTTGAGCTGAAGTCAGACACTTAACCGACTGAGCCACCCAGGCGCCCCTGAATCTTTTTTTTCCCAATGTTTATTTATTTTTCAGAGAGAGAGAGAGACAGAGACAGAGAGAGACAGAGAGACAGAGCATGAGTGGGAGAGGGGTAGAGAGAGAGGGAGACACAGAATCTGAAGCAGGCTCCAGGCTCTAAGCTGTCAGCACAGAGCCCGATATGGGGCTCGAACTCACATCACAAACCATGAGATCATGACCTGAGCTGAAACCAAGAGTTAGACACTTAACCAACTGAGCCACCCAGGCGCCCCAGGGACTATAAATCTGACAAAGGATATGCAGACCTTTATGGAGAAAAAGCAAAAAATGTTATTGTAAAACATAAAAACATAAATCTAGAGCTATACCATGCCCATGGATGGGAACATTCAATTTCATAATGGTGTTGATGCTCCTTAAGTTATCTATAGGTTAAATGAAATTCAAGTAAAAATGCCACAACACTTTCTGCCATGGAACTAGACAGACTCTAAAGTCAATATGGAAGAGTAATAGTCAAAGAACTGCCAAAAGCAATTCTGAAAAGCAACTAGGGGAGGTGATTTACATATTAGACATTAAAACTTAATATAAAACTATATTAATTAAAGCATATGGTGTCTGGTCCAATGGTAGATAAATAGGTCAGTAGAAGAGAAATGAGAGCTTAGAAATAGACTGAAGTATTTGTGGCAGATTGATATAAATATATTAGTTAGAATTTCTTTCTGTGAGAGACAGAATTCTCAAAATGGCAATGGCTTAAACAGGATAGATGTGTATTTCTTTCTCACCTATTAATGCAGAGGAAGTGAGGGAGCAACTTTTTATACCACTTCTTATAACTTTTTATACCACTGTGCATGGCCAAATTTCCTAAACTCAACTAATGGCTCAGGATGGTTCCTCCAGCTCTAGCCAACATGTCTGTATTCCACCAGAAGAAAAGCGGTTTAGGAAGGATGAAGGTATGTCTCCTCCCTTTGGGGACATTTCCTGAAGTTTGCATACACTACTTCCTCTAACACTTTTTGGCCAGAACATGGCCACATTCTGCTGTAAGTAAGGCTGGGAAATGTACTTAAGTCTGAATGCCCAGGTTTCCAGTTAAAATTTTTGTTACTATAGAAAGAAATGCAGACAAAATACTGAAGAACTAAAAGTCTGTTCAGGTGGCAATACAAACAAATTAAAGAATCATTATTTAATGCATTTATTGGGACAGTGGATTCCTATGGAAAAGTAAAATCAGATACCTTCCTCACACTGTATGTAAAGAAAAAATTTTTATGGATTAAAAATCTAGACGTGAAAAAACTTTAAGACTACTTGAAGAAATTATGGGAGAATATGTTTTTGACTTTGCAGTAGGAAGAGATTATTTTTTAACAGAAGGCACAGCCCATGAAATAAAAGTGTGACAAATTTGCCCATACCATAAATACAAATTTCTGTACCACAGAGGAGAGAATAAACAAAAACTAGAGAGACTGAGGGAAATATTTGTAACTTATACATTAGGATAACATTTCAGTCCAGCACACATAAAGTTCCTACAAATCTGTGAGAAAAAGACAACCTAATACAAACGGGAGAAAAGATCTCATGAGGCCATTTATAGAAGATGAAAATTAATATGTGAAGATGTACTCAACCTTACTAGTATGAGTACTGAGTGGAAGGGTGTATTCTAAATGACGATGATGGTTGCTTCTGGACAGACAATGTCAAATATCTAGTGAGGGAGAGGAAGAGAATGGAGGAGAGAACAAAGAGGTAGGTGTTGAACTTGTCAGGAGTTGTCACATAATTTTTTAAGTTAAAAAAAGAAAGGAGCAAAGCCAAACCACAAAACCCTCTCAGTTGGGTTTTTCTCAACTTTGCCCACTCTTGGACGAGACACACTGTCTATTTATCCATTAGTCCCTGTGTGTACAAAAGAGAGTAGAAGGAACAGTCCTCCCTGCATCGTCCTGGACCCTTGCCATGGCTGAGAAGGTTGACCCACCATTTGTGTAGAAATCCTGTAGCTCCAATTCTCTTTGATGCTATATCTCTATGAAGGGAAATGCAGGCATCTTATCTTGACTTTTGAAGAAGAACCCTGCTCATTTCTTTTCTTTGCTCATGCAAAAGGAGAGCATCCCATGTTCCTTGTCTTCAATAAACTTCTGCTACACTGACTCCTGGGGACATACAGGATACCTGAGTCAATTTGTTTTCTCTCTCTTGGCAGGCCATCCTCCCAGCTAAAGCCCAAGAATTCTTGATGAAGTATCCAGTGGTCCTGATCCATGGGTTGTGCCTAGCTAATTTAAAAAGAAAAGGAGGGTCACCTGTGTGGCTCAGTCAGTTGAGCGTCTGACTCTAGATTTCGGTTCAGGTTATGATCCCAGAGTCCTGGGATCGAGCCTTGCGTCGAGCCTTGTGATAGGCCCCGCGGTGAGTATGGAGCCTGCTTAAAATTGTCTCTCCCTCCCTCTGCCCCTCTCCCCCACTTACATCTTACATCTGCCCTCTCTATAAATAAATAAAAAAATAAATGGAAGAAGTAAAAATTAAAAGAGAAAAAAGGCAGTATGCAATAATAAATTATTTCAGTAACTGAAAGAGGCATCTGAATGAAGTCCTCATTAATATATGATTTTTTAACGTATTGAAAATGAAAATGTCATCTTTCTGTAAGAGACTAGCTCAATGGTGGTAGAGTACCAGGCCCTATAGGAGTCAAAGTATATATTTGGTGCCAGTGAAAGCAAGGAATTGAGAACAGCAGCTGTGTGGCTCTTGGGCCAGCTGACCCTGGGAGGGGAGCAGAAGCCAAAATGAGCTAAATATGTATGAATGCACACAGGCTCAGGCTGAGTCCTGAGGTGGGAACTGCATGGCAAAGGCAAGTCTAGCCATTATGGATGAACTGAGTCTAAGATCTGGAGGCAGGTCAGCAAAGACAGTGAAACTAGGCACTACAAACCCAAGGATATGGTTGGCTTCATGACTCATTTGTGTTTTGTTTCCATTTCAAATCATTTTTATTTTCGTACATTGAATACTTGGTTTATATTCTAAATATATTAGAATCAGATTTATATAATGCTATTCACATAGGTTTTATTCTTTTCTGTTATACAATTCCTTTTTCCAAAAATCTGTGATTTGATAAAAGTTCAATAAGCAAACACATTTTAGCACATGGGAGTAAATATATCCTTATAACATCCCTTGAAGCTTGATTGGATGAAACTTATGATTAAACTATGACAGTGGGGGGCAGGGCCCTGGGTGGCTCAGTCAGTTGAACATCCAAGTCTTAATTTTGGCTTAGGTCATGATCTCATGCTTTGTTTGTGAGATTGAGCCCCTGGTATGGGCTGTGTGCTGACAGCCTGGAGCCTGCTTGGGATTCTCTCTCCCTCTCTCTGTCCCTCCCTGGCTCACACACATTCGCACACGGGCACACACTCTCTGTCTCTTGAAAGAAAGAAAGAGAAAGAAAGAAAGAAAGAAAGAAAGAAAGAAAGAAAGAAAGAAAAAGAAAGAAGGAAGAAAGAAAGAAAAAGAAAGAAAGAAATATTAAAAAAATACGACAGTGGAAATGTATGCCGTAATCAAAAGAAAAAATATTGAAGAATTGGGTGGAGAACTTGCTTTCTCATTGACCTCAAGGGTGTGCTGGTTTTGTGGGGGCAAGACAGGATGTGAAAGATCACCTTTCATGTTCTGGACAGGCAGGAGAGAGAAGTGGCAGTGGAGAGCTTTGAGGCAACAGTAGGCTCACCATACAGCTTGCCAACCTCGCCCAAGGGGAGAATCCCATGGGGAAAGGCTTGACAGGCTGGCGCTGACTCAGGAATTCCCTCCCACAAGGAGATGAACTGATGGGGAAGGAGGCATTTGGAGCAGTCCAGGGCTGCTACAGCTGCTTACTAGTGCGCTCCAGATCCAGGTACCTTGTACCTATCTTTCCTTCTGTTCTCCTCAGGTGGCTTTCATCCTCTGAGTTGCAAGGTCTGATGCCTGTATCCTGGGCAGGTTGGAAGCAGACAAGCCAAGGGCCTGCTCTCTTGGGGTGTTGCTTTTTTATTCAGGGAGAGAATGCATTCTCTGCAGTCTTTTTTTTGGATGTATCGTCATGCAGAATTATGTCACATGGCCACGTCTAGCTGGATTGAAACTAGAAAGGTGTATTTTACCTTTCCAGCTCTGAAAAAGGAATATATGGCAGAGGGAGTCACTGGATCACTTTCTGGTAGTCAATATACAGTGTTCATTTCTAAGGTTACACAGGTGCCAAAAGTGAACAATGAATATGAAAAGCAAGGAGAAGCCAAGAAGTTAAAATGTTGGTAACAGAACAAAACAAAGTATTAGGTCAATGTAACAATTAAACTTTGGTGTGTATATACTACTGGTGAGGTTTAAAAATCTTGACACATAGTGTGAAAAAAATTACATATGCACATAGTTTAAAGATTCAGGTAATTCTACAAGACTTAGTAGAAAAACAAAAGAAAACCCAGAAATCCCCATTACCTACAATTGTCTCTTTCTAGAGGAAGTCATTTTAAACTGAGAATTTTCTTTCCTTGCATTTCTAGTTCCAGTTTCATCTTTCCACTGGCTCTCCATCTCTTCATTGAAGTCTTACCTAAGTATCTTCCTTAGGCTGTGGTAATTTAGGACACAATTTTTGGTCATAATTTTCATTTTCTCTGTGATGATATTTTTCTGGTGAGTTTTATTAGCCATTTTTCTGTTTAAGTTTTTTCCTTTTTTTTAAAGTCTATTTATTTTGAGAGAAAGAGAGGGAGAGAGAGTGTGCACATGAGCGGGGAGGGGCAGAGAGAGAGAATCCCAAGCAGGCTCCGTGCTGTCAGTGCAGAGCCTCATGTGGGGCTTGAACCCACAAACCGTGAGATCATGACCTGAACCAAGATCAAGAGTGAGATGTTTAACTGACTTAACCACCTAGGTGCCCCTTAGTTTTTTCTTTTAAACTGATTTTTTTTTTGTTTCTTCGTATAAATCTTGTTTTGGTACAAAAATATTGTCATTATGGAAAATTTTGAACATATACAGAAGTAGAGAGAAGAGTAAAATGAATCCCCATATACTCATCATTCAGCTTAACAGTCATCAACTCACAGCCGTATAATTCCATCTTTGCCCCACCTGCTTATCCCTTCCTGTATTGTTACTTTTTGTAGTAAAATATACATAACATAAAATTTACCATTTTAACCATTTTTAAGCATAATGTTCTTTGTCATTAAGTACGTTAGCATTGTTGTGTAACCACCACTACCATCCATCTCCAGAACTTTTTCATCTTCCCACACTGAATCTCCCTACTCGTTAAACAATAACTCTCCATTCCTCCGTCTCCTCAGCCCTTGGCAACCACCAGTGGAAGGTACTCTCTATCCCCATAAGCTTGACTACTCTAGGTACCTCATATAAATGAACTTGTACAACATTTGTCCTTTCATAACTTGCTTATTTCCCTTAGTTAGCATATTTTCAAGGTCCCAACCTGAGCATGAATTTCCTTCCTTTTTAAGACTGAATAATATGTGTGATGTAAGGATACATCACATTTTATTATTCATCCGTTCATCAAGGACACTTGGGTTGCTTTCACCTTTTGGCTATTGTGAAGAATTCTTCTATGAACAAGGGTGTACAAATATCTGTTTGAGTCCCTACCTTCAATTTCAACTCTTTTAGGCATATGCTCGGAAATGGATTATTGGATCGTATGGTAATTCTATGTTTATTTTTTTTAGGAGCTGCCATACCATGTTTCACAGTGGCTGCACCATTTACACTCCTACCAACAATGCACAATGCACCTTTCAACAAAGGTTTCTACACCCCTTTCTAATACTTGTTATTTTCTGTTTTGTTTGTTTTTGTTTTTATAATTTTTTATTTTTTTTATTTTTTTTTTAAATTTTTTATTTTTTTTCAACGTTTATTTTTTATTTTTGGGACAGAGAGAGACAGAGCATGAAGGGGGGAGGGGCAGAGAGAGAGGGAGACACAGAATTGGAAGCAGGCTCCAGGCTCTGAGCCATCAGCCCAGAGCCTGACGCGGGGCTCGAACTCACGGACCGCGAGATCGTGACCTGGCTGAAGTCGGACGCTTAACCGACTGCGCCACCCAGGCGCCCCATGTTTTTATAATTTTTTAAAATGTTGATTTATTTTTGAGAGAGAGAGGGACAGAGTACGAGCTGGGGAGCGGCAGAGAGAGAGAGAGGGAGACACAGAATCTGAAGTTGTGCTGACAGCTCAGAGCCCAATGCAGGGCTCAAACTCATGAACCAAGAGATCATGACCTGAGCTGAAGTCAGACACTTAACTGACTGAGCCATCCAGACGCCCCATGTTTTTGGTTTTATTATAGCCATCTTATAGGTCTGAATTGGTTCCTGTGTTATTTATGAAGCAAATCCCAGATGTAATATTTCACCCACAAATATTCAGTATGTATTTCCAAAAGATAAACACCCTTTTAGAAAATAGAACTCAAAAAAAGAAAATAGAACCCCAATGTAAATAATTAATAAAATTTTTAAAATATCATCCATTATCTTGTCAGTATTCACAATTTCAACCATTCAGAAACGTAATAACTTCTTTTTTAGGTTTTTGGTTTGTAATGGAACCAAATTTTTCATAATATATTGCTATTAGTTGTCTTTTAAGTCCCTTTAAATCCATAGTTTCCATTCTTTTATTTTTCCTTGCAATTTATTTGTTGAAGAAATTAGATTGTTTTATAAATTTTCCTGTGGTCTGAATTTTGTTAATACATCCATGTAGTATTTAATATGATCCCCTATATTTCCTTGCAAATTGGTAGTTGAATCTAGAGGCTTGATCTGATTCGCATTCAATTTTTTGGCAAGCCCACTTAGGTGGTATGGGTTCTTCTACTGGGAGACATACTATCTGGATGTCTCCTTTTGTGATACTTAGTGGGCATTTATGATCATTGTTTAGGTCTGCATGATCTATGGTGGTTGCTATTAGTCACATGTTGCTTTTTACATTTAAATTAGTTCAAATTAAATAACATTAAAATTCAGTTTTTCAGTTTTACTAGCCACATGTCAAACGCTCATAACCTCATGTTGCTCATGGCTACTGTGTTAGGGCAGATGCAAAGCATTTCTATCATTACAGAAAGTTCTCCTGGGCAGCACTGGTCTAGATCTGTTAATTCATTAAGGGTGTGTTTCGGTGCTGCTCTAATTCTCATATTCATTTTACATTTATCAGCTCAAAAACTTGTATAAGGAGAAATGTCCCCATATCTACTAGTTACCCAGTGATACAGTTTGTATAGGAAAAGCGGAATAAAGTTTAATTCCTTCCCTTCAGTGAGGTCGATTCTGTAAGTTACAGATCAATATACCATGCTTGTATCAACATAATTATGTAATTATTGTTTACTGCAGACCCAACTAATGAATTACAGTTATACTTCCCTTTTTATTCAGTTTTCTTTTTCCTTGAGCATCTAATTTACTTTACCTTTTATTGCATTATCTTACAATATTGTTGTTTCAATTTTCTCCCCCAATTTTCCATCGTGTTAATCTATTCTATTAAGATCTCCCTTCCCCCTCTCCCACCTTGAGATCTTATTCTTAGAATTCTTCCTGTTGAAACTTCTTTCTTCATTGCTGTTTGGGGTTATATATACTTTTTCCTGAGTCTCACAACTTCCTTTGTCTTGGCTTTTTAAAATTGGTTTGCTAAATATGTCTTCCTAAAGTAACTTCCTAAAAAGAGTTTGTGGAAGGCAAAGTTTCAGAGCCATTCCATTTCTGGAAATATTTTTCTTCTATCTTCACTCTTGTTTGATATTTTGGTTGGACATAGAATTCTAATTTTAAACTCTGTACTGTCATATAGAAAGTTAAAGATATGTCTCATTATTATTATCCCTAGTTAATTTCAATATCATTCCTTGTTTTCCAGTGGATAGGGATTTTTTTTCTTTCTGTTCTTGGGTAAAAAAATTCTCAGGGAATATTTTGGTGTTCTGGGCAGCATTCTATCGATATAGGTCTCAAATAGATAATGTATATAAATTGACATTAATTACATATATAATATTTCTGAAATGTTGCAAATTTGAGTGTGTAAAAATTAAACAATAAACTCTAGGATGTGGTGTGTGCTCTAAATCAGCAACTAATGTTTCTCCTAAAGCCAGTTTCACTGGTCTGAGAATAAAGGGGTGGAAATAAGAGTGGTTCCTCTATTACCTCTAGTGACCCACTACTGAAATTTTTGCTTCCAATTCCAGAGTAACATTGGGCTCTGCTGGTGTAGAGGTCTCGGTTTCCAAGAGAGCACTTCTTCTAGTAGGGGACTGCAATGTTTCAGCTAAACTGGTGGTTGAGATTGCTATCCGGTCACTTGGGGCTCCTCATGTCAGTGGATCAATAGCCAAAGAAGAGGTTACTCTATCTATTGGCAGGAGTGAGTGAATGATCCTGCTTGTCAAGGAGTTGCCACCACACACTGAAAGTTTGGAGTATTTCTAGAATGCAGAAGATATACTGGGGCATCTCTTAGTTTTCCCAGGTCCCATGATTAAGATCAATAGAAAACAACAATACGATATAGGAAGAACTGCTAATGGCCCAGATCCTTCAGGAATGAAGATTTGGGTCACCTCACCACACAAAGAACCATGCAAAGAAGTTAGGTGCTTATTGAGAGCAGAGAAATATGTAGTGGAAGAAGGTAGTTTATAAATACCTTCTACTTCCATGTGACCAGTAGCAAAACTGAGGACTGTACCCTCATTTCTCAAAGTGTACTTGCACTTCCCTCTTGTTTTGCTATAAATACATTTGTGTACATATTAACCAAATATTTTTTTCTCCCTGTCATTCTTTTATCATATGTGTTAATAGTAGCTATTAACTTATACCTTGGTACTATATAGGATCTCAAAGTGAGAATGTGATTCGGCTAGATGAGGCATGAACAAAGTCCAAAGATGATTAAAGGAACTTTGTATCCCCTTTTGGAGAGAGGTGTAGGTTGTGTTTGGTTGTATGAGGGATAGTTGTCTCATGCTAAGTGAAAGTATGACTTTTCTATTGTCTTTTTTTTTTTTTGAAGTTAATAGCGTTAAAAGGGATAAGACGCAGATGTCAAGTTGATGAGGCACAGACTTTGGTAGCTTTGTACTGTAGCAACTTATCTAAGATGGAGCCAAATTTCTCAGAATTCCCCTCCCTGTATGGTTCTGAGTTGGAGTTGGTTGCAAGAGACGTTCTGTGTGAACTTGGAAGCCAGTAGTGAAGCAGAAACCATATTGCTTACTCTCTGAAGGTCAGTGCAAGGTGTTAGGCAGGTGAGCCACTTGCTCTCATTGTTACTGATCTGCTAAATCACTTTGTGGGTATGGGGTGGCAATGGGGCCTATGTTTCTTCAGTTGTTAGATCTCCTCCTTGAACTTTTCTGACTTCTGGGCTAAGTGCATATGCAGCTCTTGGTGAAAGATGCCAGCTTCTCTTGCAGATTACCCATGACAGCACAGTTGGAGGTGCTAAGAGAGACCTGGGTTCCAGTTCTCCCTCATGTTTCCTTGTTCTTGTCCACATTTAGCTCTCCCCCCCACCCCCTGGCTGACTTAGAGCAACTTTAGGTTCAACACTAGACACAGAAGCCATGGCTGCTCCACCAGCTGCCATGATTGCATAGGATCAGTCTCATACTGGTTCTGCTTTCTCGTTGAACCACACCCTGAAGATAGGTCAGGAGGGACACAGGAGCAGTGGGGAATTCTTATGCCAAAGGCCATTCAGTTTTCATGGGAGGAACACACATATTTTTTTTAGTATTAAAATTCATGAATTTTATTCAGAAGAGTTTCTAAGATGCTCCCTTACTCGCTACTTAGTAACACAATACCATTTTATTGTTTTCTTCCAAAATGAAAATGACAATTATATTTATTATGGAACACTTGGTAGATACAGGTAATTACCAGGATACAGATAACATTTTGGTGAATATCCTTCAACTCTGTCTTTAGTGCATATATCTATAATATATATGTATACATAAACATACTTTATTTTTATGAAAATGGAATCATATTTAGATTCTGTTTTATAAAACAGGTTCTCTATCCACACATCAGCATATCATGAATGTTTATCTCTAGATAATTAGTCTCCAATTCAAGAACTTAATTTTTAATTACTTTGCAGTGTTCTGTTGCATGGATATACCATAATTTATTTAAGCCAATCCCTTATTTTTAGCCTCAGATTATTTTCAATTTTTCTTCATTGATTAAAAAAACTTCTGAGATGAACAGAGATAATCCTTTTAAAACATTTTTATTGAGTGCTCTGTACCACGCCTGTAGTAGCTTCATCTCTATGCAAATCTACATCGCTAAATTTCTGTGTGATTAAGCTTTTCAACAAGTGTGTATTGAAAGAAGGAAGGCATAGAGAGGTACATTTGTTTAAGATTGGCACGGATTTAATTTTATAAAATAACTAGGTCAGGGGTGCCTGGATGGCTCAGTCAGTTAAATGTCTCACTCTTGATCTCCACTAGGTCATGATCTCACAGTTCATGGGTTTGAGCCCCACAAAGCCTGCTTGGGATACTCTCTTCCTCTCTCTCTGCCCCTCTCCTGCCTGTGCTCTCTCTCTAAATAAATAAACTTAAAAAAATAAATAACTAGGTCATTCTAAACTTTTCTATAGGTCTTCTTGGAATGCAACATTTGGAGTCCCTCTTACATCTGCTTGCCTCTAGAACAAAGCTGAACTTGTTGACCCATCCCCGTGAAGTGAAGCTTGAAAAGAATTCTCTCCATGTTCCCAAATCCCTTTTTAAGTCAAAGTGCCTCCAAATTGCCTCTCCTTGTAGACCTTCTGTGACCCACAGTATACTGGAGAAAAGCAGAATCTCAGTCCCCATCCCGGAAATAGCGCTTGCATTTTCATGTGGTTCTCATACGCGTTAAGAGTTTGAGAAGCACGGATTTAGAGCTCCAGGCTTGGCTCACACTTGACCCCGGTCCTCCTCGCTGAACAACAGAGGTAAGGAGACTGGACCAGCGGTAATAGTTCTGTTAGGGACAGGATCTCTACCCAAGGATCCACTCAGACACTTTTCACTATCCTCAAGCCCTGCCTGCACAGGAAGCCGGCCACTAAAGATAGACTGCCTGTGGGAGACATAGGGACATAAGGGACCTCTGCTAGCTGTGCAGCAGGGTGAAAAAGGGTGGAACAGGAAAAGGAGGAAGGCAAGTTCCTGGATTCCAGAAACCACAGTTTGTCTAGGTGCTACTTTCTCCCTTATTTAGCACATAACTTTGTCATATGACATCCCTTTGCTGACCTCTTTTCCTTTTGCATTTTACCCCGCATTCAAAAGTCACCATCTAAAACTGTTCTCCATGGGTTAGAAACTTTAAGTTGTCAGGGACTGAATGTGCCCTGTTTCCAACAGTTTCTGGCAGTTCTCTGCTTTTATGGTGTAGTCATGGTGAAACCTGAGTCATCTGAAGATGGTGCCAGTGCCAAAGAACTGGGGAAGGAGCTTGTTGACAAGCCAGGATGGCAAGGAGCTGGGCTCAAGTAACTGCTGGGCACCCGGGGCCACTGTCCTATTGGGACAGGAGAGCTGCCCCAATCCTAAATGTGTTTATACAAATCGCCCCAAGCTTTACAGTTTTAATGAACACTTTCTGTAGCAAGAGTGTTTAGAGACGGCCCAAAATATAAAGCGTCTCCCCGGGAAATTGTTTCTCACAGTTCTGAGTAGCAACACCTAGCTTTTGCATGTGCCAGAATTTCTTTCTTTCCTTTTCTTTCTTCCTTTTTTTTTTTTTTAATTTTTTTTTTT